GGGTACAGAAATGTTATATATATATATATATATATATATATATATATATATATAAAATATAACATTTCTGTAATCTATATAACCTGCCAGTCAGCAGTTTTTGAACAGTAAGATTTGTTATGTTTTTAAGAAGTCAAGTTTATTTGTACAGTACTTTTCACAATACAAATCATTGCAAAGCAACTTTACAGCAAATTAAGTTTCTACAATATTTAGTGGTACACAGTAAAATCGTGAGTGTTAAATTAACACTGCTCGGAGCATATATGGTCCCACTCTAAAAGAGTGTTAAAGTAACACTGAAGCAGTGTTAAAGTTAATGAGATAATTATGTGATTAATTAAGTGCTGACTGAGCATTAGTGATGAACACCTGCTGTTAAGAAGCAGAATCACTGAAGAAAAGAGAAACACAAGAACTACAACTGACTTCAGCCACAGTCTTAGATGAAATCAACTGAAATAAAAGAAGACATTAAATCTCTCAAGATCTCAGCAGAAGATGATTACACAACTCTACAAACAACATCACCAGCTTCATGCATTACTAACCAGTTTGACTTTATTTCTGGAATATCTAAAATAGAAGTTCTTTATTGAGAATTAATGGTTATGTTTTTTTTTTCAACTTACCGTTTTTGTGAATAGTGGTTGCTTTAACTGCCTCTTGACCCTTGACTTTTTAAATTTAAGTTTATCTTTGGCTAGCAATTGTGTGTATTAAATACATGTGTGATGGTAAGGAACTTATGGTAAGATCATGTCACGTGTCAGAGTCTCTGATTGAAAATTATTGTAAACTGTAGTGCTTCTATGATTTCTATATTGTTGCAGTTATATGAGACATCAACGTGAGATAAATGTTATTTTTGTGTCTTAAATGACTTTTATAAATATGGTTCATAAAGAGGTTTCAATTCTGGCACACATAGACATGAAGAATCAGCATGTGAATCTCAGCAATGGTGACAAAATATTCTAATCATTTTTATGTGATTTTTGAACATCACAAAACAAGGCTGTAAAAAGTCACAACAAAAAATAAAAGCAAATAGTAAAAATAAAAGAAAATACTAAGACAATGCAGCTGCATAATTTATTCATGTCGCAATGCATGCTGGGAGCCATGGATGAGTTACGCCTGTTTCACACATACTCCGTCCGCAGTGCATGTGCGTTGCGGGGTTTTTTTACGCACCCATGTTAACGGATCAGAGCGTTCACACTGGGGTTGCAGTCCGGCAGTGCGCTACAGGAGCGGCGCGTCTGCAGCAGTGCAGCGATCGTTTAAGCACAGAGTCTATTTTTGCTGTGCTGCACGCGCTGAATTAAAGTGACAGCGCTTTGTTCGCGGTAAAAATGAACATGGATGGAGACCGAAATGTAGTAATTTCACAATAAATAGATATAATTAAAGTCTACTGTGTTTCACAGGCTTTTTGGCTAGGTTTGAAACAAATAAAAGTGCACTTTTAGATATACAAGGCAACATATGCACTTGTGGAGGTAGAAAAACAAAGTTCTTTAAGACCCGCTGGACTCTTGTAATAAATATTAAATGTAAAAGGCACGAGAGCCGACTGTTTCTGTCAGTGGTAAGGTTTAATTTAAAATATTTGTGATAACCGAAGAAAGCTATATGCTGTATTCAAATGTGTTTCCACTTGAGAAACTTAATATACAAATCTAGAAGCCAAATGCATTTAATACGCTGTTTATATTAATTGAGTTTAAACGTGGATATGTTTGAAAGATTGTGTTAACTGTACTGTGATAAAAGAGGTTCACAATGCTGAAAAAAGCACTTTCAGTATAGGCTAACAACGTTTGGATTTGAAATCAAAATAATGTATAAATGTTGTGTTTGTGATATACAGCCGCGGATCAGGAGCGAACTGCAAACGCATCCTGTGTGAAAGCACAATGAGTCCATGCTGCTTCTGCACCGCATACGTAACGTAACGCACGCAGACCACACACGCACTGCAGAGGAGTATGTGTGAAACAGGCGTCAAACAGGCGTTATGATTGGTGCACCCAGAATGCAATGCAACGTGAATCTGTCTGATGATCATCACCATTGTTGAGATTCATATGCTGATTCTTGATGTCTGTGTGGCTAAACAGTACAAATGCTCTAAACGGGTGTGCAAAATATTTTCAAAGCGCTTCATATTGTTTTATTAAAATACAGTTGTGATCAGTAACTAACGATAGTACACATTACCACTGATGATGTTAGTGAACCTGGCTACAACATGACAACAACGTCGTCCTTAAAAAAAAAAATTTTCTCTGGGTTTTTCTTGCTATAATAAGCGTGTTTTATAAACACAGTTACAGCAACCAGAAAAACTAGCATTAATAAGTCAAGGGTCAAGAGACGAATCTGTCTGATGATCATCACCATTGTTGAGATTCATATGCTGATTCTTGATGTCTGTGTGGCTAAACAGTACAAATGCTCTAAACGGGTGTGCAAAATATTTTCAAAGCTCTTCATATTGTTTTATTAAAATACAGTTGTGATCAGTAACTAACGATAGTACACATTACCACTGATGATGTTAGTGAACCTGGCTACAACATGACAACAACGTCGTCCTTAAAAAAAAAAATTTCTCTGGGTTTTTCTTGCTATAATAAGCGTGTTTTATAAACACAGTTACAGCAACCAGAAAAACTAGCATTAATAAGTCAAGGGTCAAGAGCACAACTAAAGCAAACACTTATCTCCACAATCGTGACTTCAAATTTGAATATTTTCAATAAACATTAACATCTAAACCTCTGTTAATTCTTAATAGGACATTTTTAGACGCATGACAAACTCCAACCAAGCAAAATTGATTTGTTTAACCCAAACTAAAGAATAATAATGTGCATTTGATCAGATATAACTGCAGTACAAGATTATGAGATGCATTATTTGAATGCTTGGCCAAAAAGATGTGTCTTTAATCTAGATTTAAACAAAGAAAGTGTGTCTGAACCCCGAACGGTATCAGGAAGGCTATTCCAGAGTTTGGGAGCCAAATGTGCAAAAGCTCTACCTTTACGTAGCAATTTGTTATAGTGTTAAGTTTAGAGTCCCAAAAGAAATATACTACACACACACACACACACACACAGCAACTTGTTACAGTCTTAAGTTTAAAGTTCCAGTATATTTTTGTTAGTTTAAATTGTTCACTTTGTTCTTCAATAACGTTCTTGCATAATCTGGAAAGTGTGGATATTATTGAACCTAATGACCTCTTATTGTTACATCTATACCCAGCTAGTGTTACAACTCACCCTAGTAGTGGGGTAGGCTGTAACAACAGAAGTCTTTGTATTTGACATTAACTCACATCATCTGTGATCAAGTGAGTTTTATTTGTAGTAGACAAATGTGGCTACAATATATCAAAGTTTGAGAGAGCATGAACAACCACTAAGTTACTGACTCTCAAACAAAAAGTGTTATCAGTGATTATTAACTAATAACTTAATGAATTAATTGGAATGTTTGGAACAGTTCAAAGGAATTGATTCGCTAGAAGGAAGTAGGGGAGACCGGGGATGATCATTTATTCTTCCTTATTAACTTCCTTCTAGCGAATCGATTCCTTTGAACTGTTCCAAACGTTCCAAATAATTCATTTTGCTCAACATATTGTTAGGGGTGGTGGGAGGGGGTGACTGGTGACTGCTCTGAGAGTTCAGTTCGGACCGAAACGATTCATTCAAATGAATCGATTCGTTTAGGAGTCAACACTACGTCCAGATTGACTCCGGCTCGCACACACAGCGGAGGCGCGAGCGTCGCCTTCACGCTTCTGCAGGAGGAAGCGCTATTAGTGTATTATATTATTCCATTATTTCAGTCGTTGTGTGTCGTGTCGCGTCGCTGATGTGGATGTGACGCTGGAATGGGCGAGCTCCGCTGGATTTGACTGTCACTCTGGACATGGATCCCACATTCTCACAGGGAGACAGAGGTGCGAGTCACATATCATCAAACACCATTCACATAGCGCTCATCTGCGCATCCAGTCCACATGTGAATGTTCATCTCATTGCAGTCCATTGCTGTTTGTGTCGACTCGTGACATTTCACTTGTTGATCGACCATGACCAGCAGATTCCCGCAGATCTTATCTCCAGAGATCAAACTGCAGAAGATCACTCTAGCTCATGTGTGCTCCGGCAGACTGCAGTAAAAGGGTGTCGCCTCAGCACAACTTCACATGATCTGGATTAGAATCCCAGTCTCTGTCGACAAGCCCTCGCAATCAGATCAGTGCGGAATATAGATTTCTCCCAAATGACAGGTGAAACGTGAAAACATGGGGAAAATCAGACTACTGAATATCTGACTGATCAGGCCATTTGATTTCCTTTCACATTTATGAGTCTGAACATCAGCGTTATGAATCCTCATGCAGCAACTTTCACAATAACACTGCATGTGTGTGTGTGTGTGTGTGTGTGTGTGTGTGAACCACAGCATGCTTTTTACTCTTATTTTGCTTGCATGTTAATAAAATTAACGAGGAAAAAATATATTCATCAGAAAATGTGAAACTTAATTTTAACTTATTTTTAAATTATTAACTTTAAAGTTAAATCATGAATTTTGCTGTGAGAAAAATAAATCACGCACCTTCATGAAGTGAACACAAGTGTGTGTGTGTGTGAGTGAGTGAGAGAGAGAGAGTGTGTGTGTGTGTGTGTGTGTGCATGTTTATGTGGTTTATGAGGACACAAATTTGTATAATAACATGGGTATGACATAGGTATTACAACGAGAAGGTGATTTATGAGGATATTTTCAGTGTCCCGGTAATTCAAAAGGCTTATAAATAATTCAGAATGAGTTTTTTTGAAAATCTGAAATAGCAGAAAGTCTCCTGTGAGGGGTAGGTTTAGGGGTAGGGTTGGTGTAGGGCAATAGAA